AAAGATACAATCACATCGAGAAAGAGCTATTGGGGCTTGTTTACGGTTGTGAACGTTTCAACTATTATTTGTGCGGGCAGGAAAATTTTAAAATCGAGACTGATCATCGTCCTCTTCTTGGACTCTTGAAAAAAGCATTAGACGAAATGTCACCACGCATTCAAAGACTTGCTATAAGGCTACTTAAATATCGCTTTACCTTAACATTCGTTCCAGGAAAATACCTTCAAATTCCTGATACATTAAGTCGAGAACCTTCTAAGGAATCGATAAATACTGAGTATTTAGATTCAAATTTAAAAGTTTTTTCAGTCATAGCTGTAAGACCTGAAACTGAACACAGAATTTTACAAGCTACCGAGTCTGACCCTGTACTAAGTGAAATTAAAAACTATGTATTGAATGGATGGCCACAACACAAAAACCTGACGTCCCAAAATGTGAGAAAGTTTTGGCCTATAAAAAATGAAATATTTTTACATCAGAATGTTCTTTTTTATAACAAACGTTTGATATTACCTGATAGTCTCCGGCAAGAATTTCTTGGTCAAATTCATAAATATCATCAAGGAGTCGTGGCATGCAAAAATCTTGCTCAAGAAGCAATATACTACCCTGGATCAGATGTTGAAAAAATGGTCCTTAACTGTGATTTATGTCAATCCTATTCAAAATCCAATGCTAGAGAGCCACTTTCTCCTCATAAAATCCCTGATCTACCCTGGCAAAAAGTCGGAATAGATTTTAAATCACTTGGCACACAAGATTTTTTGGTAGTTGTAGACTACTTTAGTAAGTTTGCTGTAGTTAACAAACTTTTAAATAAAACTTGCATTACTGTTGTGTCAACACTTAAAAATATATTTGCAATAAATGGCTTGCCTCAAGAGATATTTTCGGACAATGGCCCACCCTTTAATTCATTTGAGTTTAAAGAATTTGCATAAAAATACGATATACAACTGACCACCTCTAGCCCAAAATACCCTAGATCGAACGGCATGGTTGAACGAACAATTCAGACTGTCAAGAGCTTGCTAACTAAGTGTCTTTATGAAAAAGAAGATTCATTCGCAGCCATTCTTAATTACAATGTAACTCCCAAACAAAATTTACCTTCTCCATGTGAGCTTCTTATGGGTAGAAAATTAAGAACTACTTTGCCCGTCAGCCAGCAAATTCTAAAACCAAAATTTCCAATAAACGGCATAAGAGAAACTTTAAAAAATATTCAAGAAAAACAAAAGGAATACTATAATGTATCTACTAAATCGTTAGGCCAACTTGACCAAAATCAAGAGGTGTATGTTCAAGAGAAAAAGCGTGAATGGAAACCTGGAGTAGTTTTAAACCAATTTGGCCCCAATGACTATATAGTTCGTGTAGGCGAAGCTAATTATCGTCGAAATAGGCAGCAGCTTAGACCTAGAAGATCATCACTATTACCAGAAAAATTAGTGGTGGAAAATAAACAAAAACCTGAAGTTATCACACAAACAAGGACACAAACTATGAATGCATCTTCTGGAGTAAATGAAAACATACCCACAAATTTGGCAAAAAGAAAGAAATATACATCCAGATACAAAGAATTACTCAAACAGAAACATTTATACTAGGAGCGGTAGATGTGTAAAATCACCGACTAAACTGAATTTTTAATTAAAAAAAAAAAAAAAAAAAATTATGTTTTTATGTTCTGTTCTTATCAATGATAAGAGGGGCGTGTGATGTATAGACGTTTAATATTGTCAATGTGACAACAGTCAGTTAATTTAATTTGTCAATATCTGTTCAACATTTATGAGAATATATTATAGTTTTAACCATTAGTGAAGTTCATGCTTTCTTATGTATGTCAAGCTCATACATAACAGAAATATTCCCTTAAATAAAGATCGCTTTTGGATGGATTAAAAACTCACCACGTTTTGGGGTTAGATAGACACTGAATTTACAAGAAAATCACAGGACTTTTTGGAATGATTATTCCGGCAATCGACTGAAAATCACTTTTAGAGCCAAATTATGGACCAACTGGTAAGTGTCTGGTAGTTACCTAGCAGGTACTTTCTATTCTCTAATGTATAGAAAGTACCTGCTAGGTAACAACCAGACGCTTACCAGTCAGTCCATAATTTGGCCCTTAGCAAGTTAATTTCGAAAAAGGAATGCCCAATGGCAGATAAAATACGATACTCGGTAAGGAAATCTTTCTTAAGGAACCAACTATCGCTACCAGCCATCGGGTTCGAGGAACCAAACGGTAAAGAAAGATGAAAATTCACCTTGTTCCCTTGTGGAAAAATGAACCGTCATCCATGGATAGTCTTGTCAATGAAGAAAAATGACAGAAAACTCGACACTGCCGCCCTCTCTCGGATAACAGCCGAACGTCATTATTCATTCAGAGATTCAAATTTCCTATCTATCAAGTGACATTCAAAATTAAAATTAAAATTTCGCAGTCGCCATAATTTCAGCACCCAGAATGAAATTGAATAGAATATTATTTAAGAGGGACGTGAGAAAAGAGCCAGCGCGCCATCTTTTGGGCTTTATGACATACATTAAATATTTTTTAATCACAGGTGTTCAAATTCTCTGTAAGTGATTGACCTATTCACAAGTAGATGGCGACATCTTCAATATCAATTCGTTCACACATTAATTTACTGTGGACTAATAATTTCATTCAGATGCAAATGAAATAATAGTATTTCACATTTTTAGCTAGGTAAAACAGTTTTTACTGGCGTTTGAAAGAAGTGACTTCCCTTCCCGAACTCAGCGACATCTTTTAGAGAAGCGCTGAACACACGTTTGGTTTGAGTCTTTTCTAAAAATGACAGCAATCACCTCGTTGTTTGGCAGATTTTGATTAATTTTGTGATACAAACATTATAATTTTCGAAAATTCTGTCCTATTCATTTTTTCCAGCATTTAACTATCCGAAATTTTGAAAATTTATTGTTGGTGTGCTACTCTAGGTATTCGTCCCTTTTTCATTTAAATTCATGACCAAAAATTGCATATTGTTGTCAACAAAATTGGTAATAATTTTACTATTTAGACTGCGTATTTTGCAACCAAAAATGCTTCGACTTATAATCTAATCTATTATTGTTATGAACATAACTTCATTCAGATAGATTGCTAGTGGTCTAAATTTGGAATTGAACAGAAATTTGTAAAGGTCTGTAAATGACATTTTATTTAAACGCCCTTCTTAAAAAAATATTACATAATAAAGGAATAAGGTCTGTAGCATTCCAAATATTACACTGCCCTCTAGGTAATGATTTAATAATTGCTATAGCGGGAACCCCGTATTTTTTAATGCCAGTCAACAGACCGTCACATCAAAAAGGGTAATATAAAGTTAAATTTGGAAGAAAAAGGGACAAGTAACTTTAAACGTTACAAATTGTAGTTCCTTATGTGTCGACATATGCATTTGATCTAAGACCTTGTTTTGTTGACCCAAGCAAAATTACACTTTGAGGTTTATCTAAGTGAATAAAATTATTATGTGTTGGTAACTTTTTTAAGGAGTGGGTTGTTTTTGGAGTTTCGGGAGTAGTTAGTGAACAAGTCTTTACATTTTTTTCAGGATAATTAATAAATAATAAGTGAGTGAATGAGTGAATTATTTAATTTCGTTGGCTAGGGTTTGTTGAAAAACGCATTACTTTCAGTCGCCAACTGAAAAGGATAATCAAGTTGTTTCTTTGGTAGAATTCCTAATTTTTTTCACAGGCCCAAAGAAAACTTATTTACTCAAGTAAAGTTTTAATAGAAAAGTTTCTGAATCAACATAAGTTCCACTTCTCTTTTAAAAAATTCTTAAAATGCTAATTATTTTGAAACTGTATGAGTATGAAAAGAAAATGCTATCGTAGCTGCTGTCGTTATATTACATATTTTCATAGTTTACTAGAAAAATTTAATAAACATATTTTTGCTTCATGAAAATTTTTACTTTGTCATGGAACTCTTGCCCACTAACTAGCAGGCAAACAGAGATAAAATAGGATCAATATAATAATGAGATTAATGATAAAATTTATTTAGAGGTTCCATAAACTATAATAAGCGTCATATCGTAATGGATGAATGTCAAAAATAAATATACTTATATATTTAGATGTTAGATGTTAAATGTGTAAACTTTCTTATTCCGAAAGCTTTAGGTTTCTAAAGTATTTTAATTTGAAAACACCTCCCCTACCTGAAAGAGAAAGTCCTATTTGGTTGTCAGTAAATTCGAATCTTCTGGAGTAAGTGGGAAACGAAGATACAAATTGTAATAAAGTTATATAGGGTGTACCTTTTAAAACGAAACAGACTAAATATCTGATGCCACGTTTATTTTTTAAAAAATCGCTCGTACAAGGAATTTGATTTTCAAAGGAGGAAGTTTTCTGCAACCATTTTTAGCACTTCAACTTTAACCTTCTGGACAGGGTAGGACCAACCCTCACTATTTCAAATGGAACAAGGGGTCGAATGATACCTCTTTTAAAAAAGCACGCAATTAATTCTCTTTAATTTGATGTCATTTTTAAGAAAATTGAACGCTTCTGTAAAATAGGCATCACTCGACCCCCTGTTCCATTTGGAATGGTAAGGGTTGGTCCCACCCCCCTAAAGGGTTAAGTTAATGCTGGAAATGTTTCAAACACCACATAATCAAATTAGGTGTACGAGCGATGTCTAAAAATAAAAGTGACATCAGATATTTAGCATCTTTCGTTATCAATGGGTTTACCCTATATATGTATATAGAACATAGTCAAAAGTGTCATGGCTCCATTAATGCGCGTCATGGCATCATAGAAGGAACATAAAAAAATAGAAAACAATTGAATATATTTTTGATGTTTGCCTCTGAAAAAATTGCTCTTAGTCAAAAATTAAAAGAACTACGAACAAATTAGATTAGTATTGAACCCATAAGTAACTATCGCAAGTAATCACATATTCAAATTATTTTCAGTTGTTCCAGAAACTCGTTTGGTTGGCATCCCAACCACTGACATAGAAGACCTTAAAGACTCTATAGCAATTAGATGCGTCGTGAGCGCAAATCCTAAAGCTTCGGTTGTTTGGAGACGGGAAGGCCAAAATCAACCGGCAAGTCTACAAGAGCTTTTGCAATTTAGTCCGGCCATCAGACAGCATTCTGGATTGTACACCTGCCATGCCAGGAATAAAGCCGGCGATTCCGTACCCATACGCGTCCAGATTGATGTTAAATGTGAGTATCATAATTTGTTTCTGACATTGATGGTTTGATCTATAAATCTTGGGACAAACTGATATCAGGCGAATGTAGATGCGTGCTATTCGAACATAAATTTCGGCCGTTCAATAAAATTTCGAAAAAAAATAAATAAAATTTTCTCAATTTCGTTCAAGCAGTGCTTTTTCAATTTTGGATTGATGACTCTTGTTCAAAACATGTAACGGTAAAAATTTTATAGAGGCATTATTGCAAAACAATAACGTTAACCTTATATAGACTAATTTAAAACGAAAACATTTAAAATTTCGAATTACTCTAACCTAACACCCATGTGCACCATTTTCCGGGACGCGGATAATAATAGCAAAGTAATTCGAAAGTTTTGTCGTAAACGATTTTCACTTTTACGACGACGCTGAGATTTCATGTCGTTCATTAAAGCTTTCTTGATACACTTTAAAATGCAATATCTATAAATTTCCAGTTCGTGCTTCAAATTTAAATTGTTTGAGAAATTTTTCATAAGACGGGAAGGACATCTTTTATAAATATTTTCTCGGGTTTTAATACAAACAAGAGTTTTAAAGAAAATAATAATAGTTAAAACGAGATTAAGTATCGTTTTCTTTTTGAGACATTGTTTATGGAGGATATCAAAAGCTCTTGACTTCTTATTAGGGTTAAGAACTTATTATACAGAGGGTGACAATTTAAAAGTAAGCATATTTTGAAACTAGTAATATTAACTATCTTTTAGACAAACGAATTCTGTCATAAAATACTCAAATACACATCGGGGAAACCACACTGAAAGATTCTGTGAGGAAATACAGCGCTGCGACTGGGGTAGCATCTATCGGGAGCCAGATGTGGACAGGGCCTTTAATCGATTTGAACACATATTTCTACAGAAAGTAAATCTAATTTTTCCAGTAAAAAAAATGAAGCAAAGAAACAAACCAACACACAATTGGATCACAGCTGGTATAAAGATATCTAGTAAAAATAAAAGAAGACTATTCCAAAATGTTAGAATTGGGGTAACAACTGTGGAGCACTACAAAAAATACTCAAATATACTCAAATAGGTAATAAAACAAGCAAAGAAGCTCAGCAACAAAAACTTTATACAAAATGCTGAAAACAAACAGCAGGCAACCTGGAGCTTAATCAAAAAAATAACTGCCACAAAAACAATAAAAAAAGACTCAATTCTAAACCACTTTGAATATGAAAATGAGACTGAGTTCCTGAATGATGTGAATAACTTTTTTGTAAACATATGCCCTGATGTGATGTCAGAGAGCAGTAGTAGCCAGGCTGATAAATCTGACACTGTGTGTAAAAAGAATCTTGAACTCCGACCCTTGACAGCTCTAGAAACCTTGAAAATCATAAAAGATCTAAAAAATAAAAAATCTACCGGATATGATGAGATCCCTGTTAGCATTATAAAAGCTTGCGCAAATTCACTTGCAGAGCCATTAACATACCTGATAAATCTATCGATGCAAAATGGCATCTTTCCTGCCAATCTTAAAATTGCACTGCTAAAACCAATCCACAAAAAGGGTACTCTAACTGATCTAAAAAACTACAGACCAATTTCCTTGTTATCCAACTTTAGTAAAATCTTTGAAAGATCAATTTATATAAGATTATTAAAGTTTTTAGAAGAAAATGTCTTGTTGAGTGAAAAACAGAATGGTTTTCGAAGGAAAAGATCCACTATAAGAGCTATCTACACAGCAATAAATCGAATTTTGGAATCACGAAACAAGAACAATGTCACCATGGCCGTCTGTCTGGAGCTCTCAAAAGCTTTCGACAGTGTAGACCACGGCCTGCTCTGTCGAAAGCTTGAGAGGATCGGAGTACGAGACACACCTCTAAGACTGTTCGAGTCATATTTAAATCATAGAAAACAGGGTGTCTTGGCAGAAAATAGCCTAGGGGAGGTATAAAAATCGAGCTTTGCCTACATAAAAAGGGGCGTACCCCAGGGCTCAATACTGGGCCCACTGCTTTACTTAATATATACAAATGATGTTGCAAATGTACTAGAAAATGAGGTGGTACTCTTTGCCGATGATACTTCTGTGCTCTGTTGTAACAAAACCAAAAACGAATGTGTCACAAATGTCCGGGAATCACTTGAAGGTCTTCAGAATTGGTTTACAAACAACAATCTTCAACTTAATGTGGCAAAAACACAAATTATAAACTTCAATCTAAAACCTGAAGAAATAATGATTGACTACAATGACACTACAATTGCTACAAAGGGAAATGTTACCTTTCTTGGAGTGGTGCTAGATGAGAGGCTGGACTGGCGTGCACATATTGACCAGCTTGCAACAAGCATGAGTAAATACTGTTACGCCCTAAGGGTTCTTAGAGACTCAGCAGGCTGCTCGGCAGCGCTAACAGCTTGCCAAGCTTACATCCAATCAAGGGTGAGATATGGTGTCATTTTTTGGGGTAGTGTCTCGGAGTCGCAAAGAATTCTGAAGCTTCAGAAAAGGTGCTTAAGGACAATTTATCAAAGAAAAAGTACGGAAAGTTGTAAAAATCTTTTTATCGAGAGTAGTGTGCAAACAATTTTTAATATCTACATCTTAGAGTGCATAAAATTTGTTTTAGAAAACCCAGATATTTTTGACCAATTAAAAGCAGCATGGGGGGGCCATGATACTAGGTTTAAAGAAAACTTAAAAACAGAAACCGCTCAGTACTCATACATTGCAAAGAACGTTAAGCATAGCATTCTGAGGGTCTGGAATGCTATTCCCATTTCATTTCGAAGGCAACCGCCACAGAATATCAAAAGAGAAATTAAAACATTCCTAAACTCAAAAGCTTACTACAGTCTGGATGAGTTTTTCACTGATCCACAAATTGACAACTTGCTAAAGTAGGGTTTCTTAATATCAAAACACACAAGCAATCATTACCAAACTAACACAGACAAATGGCATAGATGGGGACGCACACTCGGTCCTTTCTGTGCAGGCACTCGAGGGCTCAGGACAACTGAAAATTGCAAGAGCAATATTTGATTTGTGTTCCTTATTGTATTATGTAAATTCTAAAGATTTTTGTGACTATTTATATTTTTATATTTTATATTTTGTGTTTGTATATTTGAAATTATTATTGTTATATGTAGTGGTATATGTAATAATCTTATTTATTTATGACATGATCAACACCCTAGAGGTAAAAATGTAGAAAACTTGTGATACACAGTATACTGTGAATTGTATTTGTCTTTTTTACATGATCGAATAAAGAATCTATCTATCTATCTATCTATCTATCAAATGTGTTTATTGCCCAACCCCCAGTCCTCTTGTCTTGGGGGCTAGCCGCTCCTAATAATTTTTCTAACATGAGAACCTACCCCGTGTGATAGCTCCTTTGAAATGTTTTTTATTCGTCTTTAGATACGTGCAGAAGCAGATAGAATTACGATAAACACATTATTTGGTTTCGCCGATGTGTATTCGAGACTTTTATGACATAATTTTTTTTTCTATGAGATAGTGAAAATTATTAGTTTTTACAAAGTGCTTACTTATAAACACCGATATCTCAAAAACTAATCGTACGATTTGAGATTTTTCTATAGGACTCTGAAGGGATAGCAACAAGCTATCCAACGATCCAGAAATGTAGCTTTTCCTACGAGGTAAACATGCAATTTTTTCGAGAATTTCATATATCTGTCAAACTTGACATCACAACAATAAACTGACATGTTTTGATTGTTGAGTTGAACCAATCAGATTGGAATTACACGATAATTTGCACTAGTGCAAATTATCGGATAATTGCATAGTAACTGAGGGGGTTTATTTGAAATCCGTGCAAATCTTTCACATGCGATTCAATCGGTCGAAATATATACGCCGACGGATTCTAAAAATTCACTATAGGCTTATTTGAAATCTTGTGCATTTTGTAAATCGTGAATTTTTAAATTTGCACTACTCAACTTGGCAACGTGTCCTGTTAAAAATTCTAACCAATGACATTGTTAGAAAATTTATTTCATATTATCAGAATTATCCCCTTTTCCTTTTCCATTTTATCTTTGTTTCTAAGATCATCATGAGTAAGTTTTGGTTGGATATTTCTATACTTGGTATTTTGTCCCGAAATTGTCTTCGGAAAAATATATCATATAGTGTTTTAGCCTTGGTTGAATGCGATGTGCTATTGTACATGATTAAATAATCTATCAGGTCTTGCTTCCAATCTGAATGTGTAGCTTGACTTATTTTTAACCTCTTTAAAATGTCTTTGTTTTACCTTTCAACTTCTCCATTCTGCTGAGGCCAGTACGGAATAGAATGGAGTAAGCTGATTCCTCTTTCTTTATTGTTGTTATATTTCGAATTATTTTATTTCCTTTATATCTGCTGTAGTAATCGACCATCAGGAATAGATAATCCCCACTCGGTAAAGGGCCCATAAAATTCATGGCAACATCAAGCCACGGTGCTGCTGGAATCTCTCTTCTTTTCATGATTTCCTAAAAATTTGGAGCCGAAACTGAGGTACAACTATTGCAGGTTGTTACCAACTTTTTAGCGCCGTAGTCGATTTTTGGCCACTAAACTTTAGATCTCAATTTTTGTTCCATCGCGACATCTCCCGGGTGACCTTCGTGCCCAGCTCGTAATACCAACGGTCTCAGCTTTGTTGGAATAATTGCTACCTCTTAATAAAATATTATTATAAAAACACAATTCCGTTTGGAAAATTTTATAACTTGACACATTATAGGATTCCAAATGTTTTGATAAATGCCCTCCTCAACTTTCAGAATATCATGATCCACCAACGATGATTCATTTATCTGAGAAAATGTTAATGCTCTAGGCCTAGCATATTCAATTATTTGATGGACATATTTTTCACCGCTAAACGAAGTGCATGATTGAGGGATACAAAGTCTGGAAAGAGGGTCGGCATATTGTTTTTTCCTGGCCTAGACAACTCTAAAG